TCCCACTTAAACATCGGTAATACTTTCCGCTAACTTCTGTAAACTTTCATTGTAAAATTCTGAATTGTTCATTACAAAATGAATGACGGTTTTTACGACAGGAAATATTAGTAAGCATTTCTTATGAAAGTATGAAAGCCGTATGAAAGATTACTTTACACTGTGTGTACCTATTAGCCACTGTAGATGATGTATGCCACAATAGAAAATAAAACGGTTGGGCAATACATGTTCGAAAGACCACGGCCATCCAGCTCGGAAGGTATTTTTAATAGTTAATTAACTTTTTTCTAGTCGTAATTGTCGCTAGAGCGATCGACGTTTGTCACCTTCATTGTTTCCAGTAAAGTATTTATACAGCCTTTCATATATTATTTTCATCATCACGTAAGTCTTGAAAACTTACCTTGTCATCGAATCTGACTCGGATAGCTATCAGGATATGAAGGAACGTGTAATGGATTCGCGGACACAAGAGGCCACCTGTTTTCGATTGCGTGGGCGTGGATGGGCTCAATGGATATTTTAACATGTTGTCGCTGACGGCAGATGTTTTATTTTGAGGAGCAGCCTCTTTGGAATGAGTTGGGAGATGCCGAATCTATCAACATAAAACGTTTATTTTCAGAAAATATACAGGGAGCGATTCGATGTCAGCGCCCACGCCCACGAGAGTCTGAAATATTGATGTCAGACAGGTTACGTACATCTAAGGGTGCACATAAAACGAAGTAATTGACCAAGAGTGTTGGGCAAGATAAATTCAGGAGAAAGTAATTCAAGAAATATCTCGCACCCTTACCTACGGTTTCTTTTAGGTACCTGAACGTTACACTTAAAACTTAATGTAGACAAATGGAAGAAACAGCGTTACTATCCAGTTTACAAAATTTTATCATAGATAATACCACGAGTGCTTTGGAAATTGTCGATAAATCCTCGACACGCGAAGTGAGGAAGGAATTTATCTGAGACTTTTCACAGCACGAGTGGTTTTGAATAGGACTATTCCACAAATTAAATTATGTCCAACAGAGTTCTAAAAATGCGCCAAATATTGAAAATAACTGAACGCTATGAGAAAACAAAAGAGGTTATGTCATACTACATACTCTAATTACTGGACATCGACATAGCGATAGAAGTATACCACCTCCTAAGATGGATGTGTCAGAGTTTATAATTGGCCGTGGCCGTGAAGGGAGTCACAATAAGAAACCTCGGATAGAAGAAGCGATTTAAGATAGACCATCCTTGAGGCATTTTTATGTATAGTTAAATACTATTGGTCAGTCACTGTAACTATATATGTGTTACTCAACACAGTGTAAACGACATTTTTATAGCTAATGACCAAGTACAACAGTGTTTTGCTGAGGTGTTATTGGCTTTTAATATAGGGAGAAATAAAGCCAACTGGAAACTGTTTTAGCATCCAGTCCAAAGGATTCGGAACTGCATTCTTCCGAACGCTTACGAAAGTACATTAATATTTAAAATATAAGGAAATATAAATTATTCATAATCTGCGTTCTCCCTTTATTGTAAAGTTAACAACATTTGTGACGAAACGGATTCGTCAGAGTACTAAGTAAGTTAGAGCAATATCAGTTCATGATAATGAATATTGACAACGAAGAAACCACTATCAAACTACATATTGTGGTTTTAGCAATCTTATCCTGTACTAACAAGCCCAATTAGCAAATGACACTTTTCTCACTATTGCACAACGTAATCCTACTGTGACAATTGACACAACAAAATGTCAGTATTGAACGATATAATAGTAGGACGAAAATCTTACTGTGTGTGACAAAATAAAAACAACGAAAGACTACCCACATGACACACGTCCGCGAACCGAATTTGGCCGAGCACTCCGCTCATTAGATTCGGACGGGCTGGAAGTTAATGGCTCCTTGATAAGGGCATTAGCTGGCGGCGCGCGCGGGCGGGCAAGCGGGCAGGGGGTGAGCGGGTCGGGGGGCGAGGCGGGCGGGGGGGGGGCGAGAGGGCGGGGGCCGAGGGGGCGGGGGGGGCGATCGGGCCTGGAAGGCGAGGCTGGAGGTGGGTGGGCGGGGGGAGCGAGGGGGCGGCGGGAGCGAGGGGGGCGAGAGGGCGGGGGCGGGGGGGCGAGGGGGGCGAGAGGGCGCGGGGGCCGAAGGGGCGGGAGGGGAGCGGGCGGGGGAGCGGAGGGGCGCGGGGGGCGAGCGGGGGCGAAGCGGGCGGGGGGGCGAGCGGGCGGGGGGACGAGCGGTTGGCGAGGGGGGGGAAGCGGGCGAGGGGGTTCGAGCGGGCGGGGGGGGGGGGGCGAGCGGGGTAGGCGGGCGAACGATGGAATCCGCGCGCGAGGGTTAGCGCGCGGGCTTTGGCGCGGAGCCGCGGATGACAAGCGCTCGGATCACTAGCGCGCCGGTCGCGCGCGGCTCAGGGGCTCATTCCAGCGGCGGAGAACGCGCATCGGAGCCGCGTGCCTCTGATTGGGCCTGCGCTCCACGCGTGGGGTTGGCGGGCTGCCGGAAACGCAAAATTTTAGAAATTCGTAATATGTTAGTTTGTCAGATTCTCGGAAATATAGGTTCGTTGTTTAAACGGTTCGTTGATCATTTGATCAATAGTTTAATGATGTTTCATTGTTCGTTGATCGTTCATTTCAGCACTGAACTATTGGTTCATTGGAACCATTAGACGTTTGTTCATTGGCGCACTGAGACAGTAATGTCTTCATTGATGTATTGACTGGTCGTTTGATGTGTTGACCGTTTGATGTGTTGACCGTTTGATGTGTTGACCGTTTGATGTGTTGACCGTTTGATGTGTTGACCGATTGGCATGATGACCGTTTGATGTATTGACCGTTTGATGTATTGACCGTTTGATGTATTGACCGATTGGCATGATGACCGATGGACGCGGAGCTCGATTGGCGTGTTGAAGGATTGATGCAACGACCCATTGATGCGACGACCGATTAATGGGGCGACAAATGCATTTGTCTTATGGTGTATTGATGTTATGCCGCAACCATGCATTTACACAATTGTTCTTTTCGTGGATTCGGACAATGTGCTGTAAATTTATTCAATATTTATTTGTTGTTGGAGTAGTGGAGTTAAGAGAGGCAAGGCATTCAGAAGAAACTCGACAAAACCTACATCGAACCCAATTTGCCCACCACAAATTCTCTGTGGTCTGAACGGGATCCGAACCTCGCTGTCCAGAGGTGAAAGGCAAGGGATCTGACATTCACACCACTGGTCGCCCAAGCACTCAGCAAATTAGAGTAATTCACCCGAATATCCGACGCCCACCTTTCCCTACAGCAATCCGCGGACCTCCCCAACGCGAATGGGGCGACCTAACCGCACTGCGGCCGCTCCCAGTGGACAGTGGCTAGGATTTCCCATTTTGCAACGTCATGTTTTCCTCTCCCCTCACTTCCCTTCCTCCCCTCCCCTCGCCGTCACCCCCTCCCCCTGCGGCTTGCTCTAGCGCAGCGATACTCGATACAGCCTGCCAATAAAAATACACTGTCAGCACATGCTCTGTCCGCAGCAACCGCGAGGAGCTTGTTTTAATCCGGCCCCGACATTCTGAGCGCGGGGAAATAAACGGGGAACACGTGTCGGGCGTTCCGCTAAACACGGAGTAAACACTCGCCGCGGTCGGAATGGAGCGCGGCGCGCGGCCGCAGCCAACGAGAAGGCGCGCGCGCCGTATCCTGTGAACGAATCAGGATTCGTTCTCTTGAGGCTTGTCTGGGTAGGCGACCCGCCGGGAAGTGGCCAGACTTCTCGTTTTACACTTGTCGGTACTGTGTTTTAAAACTCGGTCAGTCCTGGTGGAGTTTGTGGTGGACAATCGGTTCGCGACAGGTTTTCTACGAGTTCTTCAATTCCTCATTCTAGCATTGCGCAGGCATCGAATTGCTTCTGCATCGCTCTTTTCTCGACTACGAAACCAATAACAAGTACGGACGTGAAGGCTAGTTGTTGATTATGATTGCCGTGCGTTTGCTTTATAAACTTCCCGCTGTGAGTCGTAGGAACAAAGAGATCAGCTGATTCAAGCGTGAATTCTGAAATAGTCAACGAGAATGCTTGCGAATGTGACACCCATAAATGATTGAAACAGAGAAACTCTTCATTCTCTTCCACTTTTGTTCTGAAAGGTGTCGTGCACGTCGCGAGAATTCAAGCAGTCAAAAAGAATGGGCTATAAAAAGATATGACTGTGGTGAGCAAGTACTTGTATACAAGGAAACGTTTTCCTTCAGCTTAGCGTTTTCTCTAACTTCGTAAAGATTTGATGTTATTTTGCTGTGAATGGAAAGGTCAGATAAAATTATATATACCTTTAAATGATCACTGATACATACAGCGCTTTTAATAAAAATAACGTCAATACCATATTTATAACCTCTTTTACTCTATTCAAACAAAAAGTAAAGAAAAAATTGAACCCACTTTCACGAAAATTTGGAAAATGTCTACAAGAATTCAAAAAACTGTCTCACAAAATTAAAACATGTTATAAAATAAAATAAAAACAATTTTTAGGATCTCCATTTCGGCAAGATCAATTTTGGGGGAAAGCCTTTGTTGTACACTTTCAGTGCTAGTGTTTTTCACAGCTATACCGACGATTTCGCAAGAAGAATATAGAAGTATTTGATGCCACGCACACTCAAGTCGAATTTCTTACAAAATCTCGATATCAACATTTTGACAGCATTACATAAGTTTCTGTTTAGCTTTCGAGAAAGTAAAAGAAGACAGAAAAGCACTGCGAAGAGAATTGTTGCAATATCTTGATGCTTAAACGTTTTTCTATGGCGTAGTTTAAACGTCCCGTAACCATTAAGAATAATACTAAAGAATTTGATCTATTTTGTAGAACCATGAGTTATCATTTATTTGCATGCAAGTGTAAACAATATCATTGTCAATAGTTGGCTTTGGAGAAATTCTAAAGAAACAATTTTATTTTTGTTGCAGGTGAGCACACTGGAAGTGGAAGAGACTATCTAAAGATCAAGTATATTCGGCGTAACTGAAGGGCTCAACGGATCATCAAAACTTAAGCAGTCTCGCTGGTTCTCTGCTTGTACTACTTTTACAAGACAGAGTTTTCTTTTAAGAATACTTTTTATATTTCACATACATATATAATGTTTCAGAATAAATGTTACAATCTTATAGGTTGCACGGAGAAGTCGAATATGATCACTTTTTGTCAATGAGCGAGTAGTACGAAATTTTATGTAACTTTTTTACACATGAGGTATTTGCATTTGATTGTTACATGGCATATTCAGCATTAAATTTTTTTCACCACAACAGACTTTGACTTACGAAACACCTAGAACATAAGGAGTTGCCTGACAACCAAATCTTTGTTGTGTGCAATTTTCCACTACATGTTCATTGGCATAAAGGGGTCATTTTAGACCCTTCTATATTTTCAAGAAGTTTGTAGTATTTATTCTCAGTCACCTAAATTTGGCGTTTCTGTTAATATTTTTTTATTGAAACAAGCTTCGCCCATTTGCTTCAAATATCAAGTGCACTGAAAATTACAAATTAGGCATCACTTCTGCTTGCCATCACTGTTGGTCACAATCACAAATGGTCGTTTATCTACCTGAATGTTTCTACTAATAATGGATACATTATAACCGAATTAGTTTTAATGCTGAATTAATTTTATAAATTGTGATGGATCTTCTTCTTACACTTCTTCATCTCTACTCATTTACTCGCCATCATAAACTAATAGATAACGGCTGCTGACGGCTTGGAAGCGGGAAAGAATTAATTTCACATTCTTCTAGCAAAAACTCAACCGGAAGAGAGTTAGCCGTAAACTAGCCTGGAAAATATTGATGAGAACGGTTTGTTTAAACCCATCCTTCTGTGAAAACTTCCTCCCCAGGGTGATGTCATTATTGACCTAACAGAGCTGGATCCAAAAGATATTTACATTTCCACATGTATTATCCAATAGATATTTACAGGCATTTCAACATAGCAAAAGACTTAGTAGCGACAGATAAATATTCTTCCTTAACTCAGCAAAATAATTAGTAAAAACTGCATTTATAATAAAAACAAGAAAGGAATGCTCCCGTTTTTTTTATTTCAGAAATAAATAAATGCTGTATTTATCATGAAATGCTCGATTCATACTCTGTCACGTTACCCATTCAAGCAGATAGGGAGTTACAATAGAATAGAGTGCTCTATCCCATTTGCTGGCTGCGAGTCACTTTTAGTAAATTGAGATTGGGAAAAGGGTAGATTGAGGACAGTTATACAGAGATTACTCTAAGAAGGAACAACTTTCACAGCTACTGCTTGGCCCCTGCTAGCAATATAACTACTAGTTACGTACATGCAATCATTTCGTCAGTGCGTTCGTTTACAGTTAGCTCAATTTTAAATGGCTTTATAGCTAACGCTTGCAATGTTATTTCCCTCATGATGTTCATTTGTTTCCCGATCTATCAAAGCGGTCCCTTCTTAGAGTAACTCATCTATAACAGTGGCGATGGAACCGCTCACAAAGCAGTCGTCTTCGCTAGTGGGTATCGCGAGAACGCAATCATCAACTAAAATATTAATAGTTTTCTCAAAACTACTGACTCGTTTGACAGAGTTCCCTCCTTCCTCTCCTACGCTATTCAGCATTCTCTTTAATACAGATCTTGTAATTAAAAAAAACACTGACTTTTCCTTCGCTCGCCAGCCAGAGCATCAGGTCGTGCTTAACCAAAAAGTAACGTAACCGAAGCGCGTTCACTGACTCATTGAAATGTGTTCAGTGCACTCTCAGCTTTTATCAACATTGTTTATTGATTGTAGATGCAGCATGTCTTACTCTTGCAATATTCTTGCTATTTGTAAAGACAGAGTAATCGCTCCTTGCCCTGTCTTTTTCCTAACTTCCCGACATGGCCGCCGCCCCCGCCAACCTAAGACCAGTGCTGGCCTCGTCGCTTGTCCGTCCGCTTCCGATCGTTTACCTCCTCTCCATGAGCCTCCTGAGCACCACCACTACTCTCCTCCCCTGCTGACTGCCACATTCCCGGCTGCACGACAAGGCGCTGCCCCGGTTGTAGGCGGGATGGATGGGTGGTCGCCCACCCCTTTCTGTTCTGTTTCCCGCCCGCCTGATTCAAATAGTGTAGTTATTTCTGACTCGACCGCGCGACCACATACCGGGGCTGGAGGCCGGATGTGGGTGGGGTGGTAAGGTTCAGCACCTTCCTTGAAAGCAGAGTTCCGCACATCACCGGAATGACTTCTCTGAAACAAAGATAGAGACGCTGAGGCCAATCAAAGCTCCCCCGTTCGTTTTATGGGAGTTATAACGCCCATGAGAAGCATTTCAGCTTTCGCGTTGACCGGCTTAGCTCGCTTAGGGCTTGAATTGATGACACTGCAGAGCCTCTGACTGGGGGGTTTGAGTCACAACTGTGGCACGGTTTTGGAGACTCGCTAGGAAGCGAGGTGGAATTCAGCCGCTTTCGGCAGGAGAATTGGGAGCCGCTGCTCTTATCGATAGTTTTCCGCCGTTTTCCTCCGAACAACACCAGGGGAATGCCAGAGCAGTGCCTTAGAAACATGCCACGGACCTAGCGAGATCTTTGCTTCCTCTTCGTTGTCCTGTCCTCACCCGTTACCTACACACATTTACATGCACTACCCTACCACATATGTTAGGAGACCGGTCGGGAGCTTAAATCTTGTGCCGGTTGGGGCCGTTTTGCACTAGTGGGCGATACCTGATTGGGGAAAACTCCGCTAGCCCTGAGGTAGGTCGGTGCCGGATCTCATGATCCAGCGAGGAAGATCACCGTCGCCTTCCGAGATGTACTACACGTGCGGGACTAATGACCTTCGCAAATGACGCGCCAGAAACCATCCGTAAATCAAGGCTTGGGCATTCATCCGGCTTGCTGGTTATCCTTCGTAGCCATCCGTCTGGCCTTAGCTTAATGACGCCGAGGTCCTTGTCGGCCGTTGGTGATTGGGCCGGGCAGCCACCGCCCGGCATCCGGCCCACCCTGCGCCGCGTCGCCTCGCGCCGCGCCGTCGCTCTGTCAGCGGGCGACGCCGGGCGACGTCGGGGCGTGCCGCTCGCCCTCCGACACGCGTTGCCCCACGCCCCGTCGCTCCCCCCCTACCCCACGCCCCTCGAGATCCTCAGGCGGCTGCTTCGCGGGCCCCCACCCTCGCACACGCGCTGGGCCCGCCGCACTCGCTCACACTCTACGGCTACGGTCACAACGCAGCCTGTTGTGCACCACGAAACACAGGACAAAAGTAACCAAGTTTATTATAAATGGTCACACGCCACATTCCAAACCTAAGGCACTGCGACGAATAACCAACAGATGTGCCAGATGTGAGCCACGGAGTCAATAGAAGTGCAAAAACAGTTCTACGTTTTTATACAATCTTTCAAACAGCCGGTCCGTATGTCCAAGACCGCTAAGGCAGTAGTGACATAGCGATCTCGGATCGAAGGATCGCGGGTTTGAGTCCCACCTCGGGCATGGTTGTATTTGGATTTACTCTTCCACCACCTATTATCACTATATCATGTTATCCTCCTAGTTACCATACCGTTAGACGCAATAGTGGTTGCTAATGACCTAGTAGTTGATTCGACCTTAAATGACAAAAAAAATATTTTAAACAATCTCTACACTCAGTTATCGGTCGCGGGAAGAATCACCGTGTTTTCGCGGGCGCCGAACGCGCTGCTTTACAGCAGCGTCGCTTTCGCTTTGCCCCTCCCACTGCTTGGTCGATGGGGAACGGAGGGGTGGTGTCCTCCTCTCCTTCGCGCGGCGGGCCAGCGAGACTTCCACTCCACCGCGCCGCTGCAGCTCCTGGCGGCAGGGCGGTGGACCAGGGCTCTGCAACTCATCATCAAAACTGGGGATGAAGCTTGAGGGTGCTACTATAGGAGGCGCTAGTGTCGCCGGGTGCAGCTGCAGTTTAGGCTCGCCAACTTTCCCACTTACAAATTGGCTAATTTGTGAAAAATACGAAAAGTGTCTTTCAAATGTTCAATTATTCATAATATCTACTTACAAGAAACGTCTCAATAAAGCGCGAACACAGACGTTATCTTTTGTAACATTATGGGCCTGCTTGCGACCCGCGAACTCACGCAGTAGCCACGCACGTTTTAAGTATCGTCGGCAGCAGTTCGTGTTTTAGTTCCTGTAAAGAAGGGGAAGCAGCTGAGCGCGTCACCGTAATGGTCTCCACCACGTTTTAGGGGGTTATAGGGCCTTGGTGGCGAACCTTTTTGCGCTTAATTTGACCGCCATTACACGACCCAAGTATCGGTCGCTCGCTACTGGACGACCAGGGGCGGAATCACTCGTCCCCCTTCACAGATCGAGTCACCCCCCCCCCGTGATAAAAATATAACTAGTTAGCAAAACAACGCATGTACACTAAATCTGCAGTTGGTGATTTGTTCTTACATGATATTTAAAAATAAAAATATTTGTTAGCAAGTCACGTCGCTGTATTTACCAACACACCTGCTAGTTCGTGATTGCAACACAATGGAGTCCATGTGGTGCTTTCAGCTGTTTTCTGGTATTTGGAAATCCAAACAAGACAGATATTCGTCGATATTTTCGGACGCCATCGAAAGAGGTCGTTTCCGTTGATAATTTCCGTTTACTAGCCCGTGTGTGAATGAATCTGGCGTATCGGAAGCAAACATCCGACGTCGGATGACTAAAATTTCGGCCAAAATCGGCTGCTCTGCGACCGTTCACTTAACCTCTCGCACACGTGAGGTTCACTCTCGCTTAACCCTAGCATTACCACGTCAGATACTCACCGACAACTGTTGTTATAGGTATACTTATTTTGGGGAAGCTGAAAATCATGCGTACTTTTGTGACGCGCTTTTTGATTAAAATTTGATGGAATTTATTAACTGTGATATAACTTTAGTTATCAGAGCGAGTTCGTTTGTAGATAAAAATGAAAACCCTTCCAAAAGTGATTATTCACAATTATTCAGAATGAAAATACTTGTAGTATTTTAAGTCTTTAATACAAAACTACACAAGTTATGAAGATACGTATGTCATTATTTGACTTAATGGGTTTAGTTATTGAACACAAATATGAATCCGAGAAGATCAATGTTTTTTCATATAAAGAGACAGAAATCGAATAACGATTTTGTTCAAGTGAATGCACATATGTATTACTAATCGTGAG